GTACAGCAGGACAGGCTCCTAACCACTAGTAATGAAAGACTGAATTGATTATTATTATTTTTTTGCAAGGAGAGGAGTATTTGTTAATCCTAGTGGCCTGTTCATATTCTAACTTGAGTAGCTCTAGTATATCTAGCTACAGATCTATGCAGTTTCAGTTGGATAAGGAGTTCATCACTCTCTTCCCTAAAACTGTGCAATGTTGTTGTACACTATTAAAGCATCTGTCGCAATTCATCTCATAGGTGGATGCATTTCAATGATGGATAAAGTGGTCCCTGTGCACGGTTTGTAACCGAGTTTGTTGGTAAAGTGCTTTTCTATGAAAAGTGCTATATAAATGCAGAGTACTCGCATCTATTATTCATCTTTTAATACACGTTTCAATAATATTTGGAGTAACATGGTAACAATAATTAAATATGACTGGATACATTTTGACATGTTTAGAAGGCCAATTACAAACACCTCTTTAAAAACCAAGTTTTGATCCCAAGCACAAACAGGCAATAAACACTCTGATCATAAAGATGATGGTACCTTCAATAGAGACACATGTTAATGCTTTAGATACAGTTATAACAGGTCTGGTTCTATGCCCAGCTCAGAACTCCAGGAGAATCAGTCCGGGGGAACATAGGACGGGACTCAAAATGTGGATCCCTCCAGGGGTTCTACCTATCTATCTACTGTTTCCTTCAAAAGCGGCTTGAGGCTTTTAAGAGCTGAGACAATCCCTATAATGTCAATTACACTGGGGTCAAAGGCAGGACATACAATTGATTCTTGTGGTGCAAGACCAGAGATGCAATTTACTAATGTGACTATAGGCTGTATAACCAACCTCCGCCCTCCCTCCCCCACTCCTTTTTTTTTAGGGCTAAATATTCCCCACTCTGGTCCCTTGCACAATCAACAAACACCCACAGCAACAGCACAAGCCGAGCATCCCTCCACATCCTCAGACAGGCTTGATTTTGGGAGACCTTCCAGTGCCATGGGTAAATTTGCCACGAGCAACTCTTGTTGTGACGCTGCTCTTCCGTCACGTGCCCCCCTGTCCCCTCCCCGGACGTACCTTATGCCACCAGCTGTTCTGCTCCTGGAGGCATCCACCTTTTGCTCACTAGCAAACCACAGACATCGTAGCATTTTCCAAGGGAGAGGGGAGCCCACCAGTTTGGGGGGAAATAAAATGCAATTCTGAATTTAAAAAGAAAATGGAGGGAAAATGAACTAGTAGGTGGCTGGGAGAAAATCAGTGGGAAAGGGGAAGAAGGGAAAGAAACGGGGATAGGCGCAGGGGAACGGAAGGGAAACGCTGCCTCTCTGAGCTCTGTTCTGCAGCAGGTGAAGAGGGAAGCTTTCTTGGCCAGGAGAACGGTAAAAGCTGGATCTCGCTGGCTTCAGTCTGTATCCAGTGTAATGAGAATCTTGCAAGTAGTCTAAGGGGGATTAGACACAGATCCGTCAAAATGTGTGTAATGGTAATGGAGAATATGTCTCCACATTCCTTAGACTGCTTGGAAAATCTCAACCAAGAGTTGATCAGCTAAAACCACGTACAATGGGATCATGCACCGGCGCAGTTCCACTGCCAAATGTCAATGTTCTGGCATGAAATTTGGCTGGATCTAGAAAGATCAAGATGTCAGATATGGCTTGTTGTGGATTCCCCGAAACATCATGTATTAGAAGCAGGTCAATCTGGTGTCAAAGAATGGTTACAATTGCTTCCTGTCCTAGACAGTAAACATTTGGGAATCTAGCTGGAAAAAAAAATAGGCAAGACCCTGAAAGATGTAGATTCATATCTGGAGTTTTCAAGTGCTCCTGGAGACAGATTTTCGTAGTGGACTAGGAGCAGCTACATTTGATGTCTGTTTCTGCAGCTGAATTCAGAGGTTTATGTCCGAAACTGACCAGTTGCTGGTTATGGTTTTTGTATTGCGTTTGCACTGAGATGTGTACGAGCCTGGATTTTTCTGGTCACATAGGAGCAGCAACAGCACGTGCTAACTATTTTGTCTGTACAGTTTGGTGTGTTGGGGGCAATGGAACCAGCAGGCTCCAGGTTTCTTTGTTCTGCTATTACCGTTACATGGAGCAGCTGCACTTCTCTGTTTTGTTGGTAGGATTGGGGGAAAGGAGGGGATTGAAAAAATAACCTAATTGGCTGCAGTCAAGTGTCAGGTATATATTTTTGTGCTGCTCCTGCAGGGTCTGGAGATTTTGGTCTACTAGGAGCTGCTATATTTTCCTCTCTATTTGCCTATTACAATTTGGGGTTGGGGTTAAAATTTGGAAGCATCCAGGTACTGAATACATGTTTTTCTAGTGCTAGGCACGGGTACTCCAGGGTTTTTCTAGGCACGGGTACTCCAGGGTCCAGATTTTTCCAGGGAAGGATAGATTTATGATTCGGAGTCAGAAACTGCGAAGATCCAGGTGGACCCAGGTACCGGATCTGTGATTGCTGTGGAACTCACGTGCCAGGCTGTACTAGGGTGCAGAACATTCTGATGCAGTAGGAGCAGCTCCGCTTGGCTCGCTGATCCCGCCATGAAATCTGAGGGATGAGGGCTAAACACTGAACGGATCCAGTCACAATCCAAGCGCCAGATGTGTGTTTTGGTGGCGCTCGTCTTGTTCTAATGCCCCGGGGTGCAGACATGTTTTGGCGCTGTAGGAGCAGTTACTCTCTATTCGGGCACTAGAATTGGTGGCGTCGGGGTCAGAATGCGAGTGGCTCCAGCAGGTGCCAGATCCAGGTTTTCGCAGAGCTCGTGCTCCGGGTTCCACGGAGGGGTGGTAATTTTTTTTTGGTTGCAATAGCCTCAGCTAGACTCGTTTTCCGGTTTGTTTGATGGCACAGTGCCGGGGGCCAAGGGGCCACACACACATCGGTAAGATCTAGTGCGATCCAGCGTTTACCTTTCCCCCTTCTTGTCGTCTCCAAGGTGTGAGACAAGAGGCTGTTCTAGCTGCTGGAGGGGACGAGGGAGAACTTGGCTTCCTCGCTGACTGACTAGGGACCGGCTGCTGCCTCTCCATCTCTCTTTACTCGCCCCCCAGGGGAGCGCTTCCTGCGGCTCACAGACCCCCCCCTCCCCCCAGAGGGGCAATCCAACCTCCGAGCACCAGGAGGGCCAGACAGAGCGAGAAGGAAGAAGGAGCGGATTTGCGTGTGTGTATTTTTTTTAAAGCCATTCCTGCTTATCCCTGCCAATGGCATTTTCCAGAAACTGCAGAAGCAGGGGGCTGCAGCCCAGGCCAGTCGGAGAGGGGACTGGGGGGTGGTGGTGGCTGAGATAATCAGTCGCTGCACCCTGCCTGGGTGTGTGAGTGTGTGTGATGGGGCGCGTGCAGCGTGTGTCAGTTTCACTCCCTCCAGCTCTGACTCCGGAGTGCATCTGTGCGTAGATTTATTTATTTTTGGAGCAGCAGGAGGAGGGGGGTCGCAGCCCTACCCGCTCGCCGCTGAATTCGGGACCCAGGAGTGGCGGGGGAAGGCGCGGGGAGAGGCGATCCACCAGGCGATGCTGGGGGCTGCGCTCCCTTCTCTCCCACCGGCGCCCTGAGTGGGTTTGACCCCCGGCCGGGAGGTGGGGAGAGCCGCGGCGAGCGATGCTGGGGAAGTTTGGGAAGAATTAGAGGGAAATGGGTGGCCCCGGACCTGCCGCGGCTTGTCCTTGCCAGGCTCATGCCGGAGCGGATTACAAATGAGAGGCATGGACCGCACGACATGGACCGCGGGGACCTGAGCGGGTAGAGCTCGAAGCAGCTTCTCTTAGGTGAGTCTCCCGCTGTGCGGGGCCGGGGGAGGGGGCGCTTTATTAAAAAGGCAGCCAGAAGGGAAGCAACAGATTGTAGGGACCGGCGATTCTCTCTGCCGGGTGGGCAAGACTGTCTGTGATTTGGGCGCCTGGCAGGAGAGACAGGGAAACCAGGGAGGCAGAGCCCCAGTTTGAAAAGACGGATTTGCCGGCTCCAGCCCCACAGATCCTTTGACAGCTGCCTCCATCAGGCGCTAGCGCTCTGTTCAAACCCGCCTCAGCCCTCCTCTGGCCCCCGTCGGATTTCCACCAGGAGATTTTTTGGCCTCAACTCTAGGAGGTCAGTGGGAAAAAGAGAAAATATATATATAACTTCCGCTTGCCCGTGATATTCTGGCGAAAGCCTTTTAGGGGGTTGCCTGCTTTCCCCTGCCTCCTAGAGCTGGGTGGCTCAAACCCAGATTTTACGACCCCTTTGATCGCCTTGTTTCATTCCCTGAAATTATATCCCCGGCTTTTACATGTTTATAGCATCTCCTCTTCATATTTCCTAGGATACTGTACATTAAGCACCGTGTCACATTAGAAGGAAGCTGAAAGGAGACTGCTAGTTGCTTCAGGGATTTCTCCCCCTCCCTCCATGCAGATAGAAAATACAGTGAATCACGGTCACAATGGGCTGCATTTATTTATTTGGTTGGTTATTTATTTATTTTTTGCACAGGGAAGTTCATTACTGCAGAAGTGGCCAAATTGCCAGCTGGTCGGATTAGAGTACAAATCAGGAGGACATCAAAACTTATAATAAAGTCCAGACTAGCTGGCTTCATTGCAAGAGTTTATGGTGATGCAGAGACTCTAAATCTAATGGACCGTGTTTAATTTTAGCTGTCCATGCAGTAGATTATTACATATATATGCCCATCTGCTAAATTATAATATAGATATCGTGAATTTTATAACAGCCACCTGTGTGTTCATGTGATTTTACTTTAGAGATTATGTACACTTATACATTTATTTCACCTTATTAGATGGGCCATTTCTGTGACACATTTGTGAGTCATATCACTGATCCACAGCTTTTGAAACCAGAACCACTAATAGTGTGATGTCATAGGAGGATGTTCTCTGCCATAACTTCAAAAATAAAATTCCACTATGAACCCCAAACTACATAAATTACAAACTGTCAAATGCCTAACAAGCTATCAGAGTCCCAGTGCAACAAAAACAAAAAACAACCCCTCCAATCTTTGTTTCTCAAGAACTCACAGGAAGTTGATTTGTTTGATTTCATTCTATTTGTTATTTAGCTGTGTCTTTTGTGTACGGAAATTGTGACTATTTGTTATTATTAGTGTGTTGATAATATCATTTTAGCTCATGACTATGCATAGGATACGGTATAATTATTCCTTACATTTCCACACACTTCTGAGTTATCCATTCCAATGTTTTTATATGAAGTCCTACATTTTCACAGCTGCCTCAAAGGGTGTTTGGACTTTTAATCCACTTGATCACCTTCTCTCAATTTTTCCATTGTGTTTTTCAAATATTTTGTCTGAGAATCTTCCTGTTGGACAAATCATAAAAAGAAACAGGTTTTGCATTAGGTGGAACACTTTGTAACAAATGCCCTTACATAATGCAAGGTCCTGTACAGTGTGTAAAATGGGAGTGGAAGATTTGTGGAAGAAGGGTTGGTCACATGGCTAAGGTAGGGGAAGAGAGGGGAAGAAGTCAGGAGTTTCTATTTCCAGATGTGCCACAGACTTCCTGCGTGTCCTTTATCAAGTCATTCAGACTCTCTGTGCCTTGCTTTCAATCTCTGTAAAATAGGGATAATCATGCTTAGCTACTTCACACAGGACTGTTGTGAAGCTACATTTATGTTTGCAAAACACTTTTCAGTCCTGGGAAGGAAGATGCTATATCAGTGCAAATGATTATTATTCCAAAAATGCTTTTTAGGAGCTAAAGGGGAACTCAGATTGTTAGCTTATTAAGAATGTGTAGCCAAATGTCTTTTAATACAGTTGACAAATAGAACGGCCTACTTTCCTGAATATTAAACCCTAGTAGGAACTATTGAGTATACTTTCTGAAGAAGAAAACAACACAACGACACTACATGATACACGTAGTTTGTTCACTTCATGAATATTTACACCCATCTTCCCTAAGTAGAACTGCTGGATAAATATCAGCTGAAGCAAGTTCAGTTCATTTCCATTTCAGACCATCTAGCTTATAAATGTTTTTGAATGTATCTATATACAGGAGCATGCACAAGTCTCTTGGCATTAACTAGGCTCCTTGTGAGACTCCCCTCTCTACCATGCTATGGTTTGTCATTTCATTTGATTTTTTTAATGTTGAAATGTAGCTAGCAGAGATCAATAAGCTATCAGCTAAATGTAAGCCTTGATAGACAATAACTGTGTAATTTCAGATATTGTTGCCAGGTACATTTTTAGTGAAAAAAACTAAAAAGAGCCCAGGTGTTCGCTTTCTTCAAACTGTGAAAAGGAACTAGATGGGAAATGGCTTGAATGTGAAGTACCCTACAATTGACTTTGATTTGACTTGTAAACACACAGAACATTCATAAAATTTTGTTACTTTCTCGGGAGAATGTGTTTTTTTTAATCATCTATCTCTTGTCTCCCTTTCTCTTTAGTATATTTCATTTACAATCTAAAACTATGCATCTGTTGGATTATTTATTGGATATTTAAAATGTATCAGTTTCTTAACCTTCTTCTCTTGTTTTAAATTAGATGTTCAAACTAGTTTCTGCTCAGGATTGCATCTCAGAGATAATGGATAACGCAAAACTCTTTGATTATTTCATTTCTTGCAAAGATTTATTTTTCAGGCAATCATAAAAAAAATCCTCAGATGAACAATACTGAGGTCTCCTGATTATGTGGATTTTTTTTTAAGGAGGCAAAATTATGGTATTGTCATCTCACTGAATTATGGGTCTCATCCACAAGATGTTTGCCCTGGATTCTCAAGGTTACAAGTCTTGATAACTTATCTCGGAAAAAGAAGTTTACTAAAAACCATGTGCAAATAATTATTCCTCACAATAGACTGAATAGTTTGATAACCACCACCCAAGTGTAGCTAAAATGAGGCTGATACTGTTGGGATTATTCTTTTAAGTACAGTAGCATCATTGGCACAATGTGAGACAAACTCTGTTCACAGTTATCCTGATGTAAAACTGGAGGGACTCCTTTGATTTATAGGGTTACTCCAGATGAAAACCAGGGTAACTGAAACAAAGGGCCATATTATGCTGTTGATCTTTAAATAACACTCCCCATTAATATCAATCAGGCATTCTAATGGCAAGCTATGGGCTAGAATTTAGCCCATTGTTGGCATATTCACAGCAACATAATACTCTCTTACGGATGCCTCACTTCAGAATTCACTGTAATGTGCTAGTGGGGAAAGGCTGTTGAATGACTCAGATGAATGTAGCTCAGAGTAAACAAACATGCAAAGCATTTCTGGCTAGAGAGAGAAAGGGAGAACATGAAAGAACAGACAAAGCTATGTTCAAGGACAAGACATTTGTCAGCAAGTCTCATCAAATTTAGCAGATTCAAGACATCCAAAGATTTCTCATTACCTTTCACCTTCTTTAGTGATGAGCAGCTGTGCAAAGTGACTGCTAAATAAAGGTAAAATGCTACTAAATCAGAATTGTCCATTCATTTATGGTGGTGGGCAAATACTCTCATATTGCCTAGGTGTAAACAAGTTCATAAGGACCCAGACACCTTCTACCATTATAGTCTGGGGGATAAGGGGACAAGAAGGTGACTTTAAGCCACCTGTATGCTTCCTTAACTTGATGCTAAGTTGGTCCCTGGCACAAATTAGAGCTACCTGTAGGCTATTTTAATTAATGCTGGCTACCAAGGGTTCTCATGGGGTCTTCCAGCAGCCACAGATCACTGTGATATAGGGGCACCCTGACCATATCCACTTTCAAGTGGACACACCCGAATGCACTTGACTGATTAGGGTCAAGGTTTAAGACATGGGACACTCAAGCCCCCTGTGTCTAACTGAGTTCATTGTAAGGCTATGGGAGAAGCATTATCCCTTTTCAGCAGTGATAAGGTCAGCTCTCTGAACCTTCAGTCTCATGCTTCAGGATCCAGGATGAGCTACCACTGTTGGTTAAGGGAATAATGTAGTGGCAATTGGGGATTAAATTGTGGGCGTGGGGAGTGCACAGGGCCCCTCCTTTGGCTTGCATGAGCTTCCCTGCTTGGTGCATGGAGAACTCCTGCTCCTGTTTCAATCTACTTAGAACACTAGTGCCAATGTGCTGAAGAAATGGTGTTGGGAGGTGTTGTAGTGTTGCTCCATATTAAAATGTAGTGATTTAGGGATGCAGAGTGTTGCAGGGAAAGCAATGAAGAGTCTTTTGACAGAGGCTGTCACTAGCGATAGGTATAGTGTTTCTGTTGGCATTTTGTATGTCAGGATGAGAGGTTGTGTGAGAATGAGATGAGCTGGAGTTGGGAGACATCAGAGTAGTTCTGTATGTGTTCTAGTAATGTATAGGCCTCAACCCATGGTTTTCCTTGTATGCCTTTCCTCTGTGCAAATCAACTTTTGCTTTGTATTGACAACATCATGCATGGAGAGAGAGGTCCACTCACGCAATAAGTTTGGACAGAAAAGATTCTAGTGGCAAATCTTCACTACTAACAATTATGGGTGTCTCTGTAGCTGACTCACTAGGACAGTAAGGCTGTTAGAGATTTAGTATTATTTGTTCTCCATGCAATCTTTTGGCCTAAGTGTTTGAAAACAGTTCCCCAAACAGTCAGATATGATTGTCACTGGGTCTCCCGTCTCTCTCTCTCTCTCACACTCACACACACACATTTGCTTTTGCTGCAGTAAAATAAAGGAAAGAATCCAGAGCTAGTGAAATATTTGTTGAGTACTTTATTTGTTGAATTATTTATTAAATGAGG